TTTTTTTTTTTTTCCCCCCCTCTATATTATGTCATTTTCCTTCAGACTTTGGGGTTAGAGAATCTTTTACTTGACTTGTTTAACCAGTGCATAGTACATCTATTCCACCCCACTGGCCATAAACATTTCCAGCATATAAATATATATCTATATAGAGAGAGATATATATATATATATATATATATATATATATACACACACACACACACACACATACCAATATAAGGCTAAGAGGCTTCTTACCTATGCATATAGAGTTTGAACTCTGATTATAATCAATGAAAAAACAGTCAATGGAAATTGCATCAACACTTCTTGTGAAGAAGAGACCTTATGGCTCTTCAGATTAATTATTTCTAGGATTTATTGACTAAAATGAGAGCTAGGTTACTAAGAATCTAAATAACTGTTCATAAGGTATAAAGAAGCTACCGTCTAGAAAGCAACAGTTCAGTCAAGGAAATATTGCTTCCATCCCACATATTTCAAACTTAGGTCAATCTATAATGCACAAAGTAATAAACAGGGAAAATTTTCTGAGGCATACATTACCTGAACACTGAAGCTGAGAGAGGATCTGTCCTCCTTCAAAATGGTGATTTGTCATCTTTAAATTAGGTTTGATACAGCGAATAAAGCTAGACCCCTATTATCAAAATAAGAGTTAGCAGAATCTACACATTTTTAAATCTCCTGAAATATCAGTTAGTCATTTAAGAATTAAGAATTATGGGTGGGGAAAAAAAAAAAAAAAAGGATACAAAATAATAGTATTCTGAAAGAGAAATGCTGACATTCTTTTTCTCTCATATATCGGTTTTGCACTCCAGCCTTGGTCTTGATGCAGCTGATCTCAATTGTCAAGCTATTAACTGGATCCTCAACTTTTCAGTTCTCACTCAACTGTTCTTCTTAACATTAGTACAATCTAATTACAATTTAGCAGTCTAGATTCTACCACCCTCATTATCTTCTACAGTTACTCACCTAAATGCCTCAGTCCACCAGAGTTCACATCAGTGAACATGCTACCAGCCTCCTGACACTGAAAACATTCCAGATGAACTTGACTTTCCTTTCTTCTAACTTTTACTTTTTACAGTTTAACTCATGGCTTCACTCTCCCTTCCCGCATGTTGTTCCACTCTGCTCCTCTCATCACCATGTGTGCCATTTCTACAATTTTGACTACTGCTTTCTCTGATTATTTCACATTCCTTAAGGATGATATTTTTGCAAAATACCATCCAATTATTCAGATTTTACTGTAACAGGTGGCTGCTAATGATAACCTACCTTAATATAGTAAAACAAAATTGGGACTGAGAAAACATAACATTACTCCTGGTTTGCAGTGTCTTTTCTCTCTTTCCATCTCTCAGCTGAGAGTGAGAGAGCACCTGCCAAGTAAGCTCTACATTAACAATACATCCTCAGTCATGGGTTAGCTAAACTACAGCAAGCATGCCACATACTTTTTCCCTGGACAGGGTCTCAGTTCCAGAGTGTTCTGTGTGAAAGAGCTCATCTTTCCTTCAGACTCATGAGTACAGCAAAATTGTAACATTGTCTACACATCAGCACCTGTCTCCTTTGTTTGCCATATTCTTCCCGCCTTTTTTTTTTTTTTTTTTTTTTTTTTTTTTACCTCATATTTAGAATTGGTCAGAACATGTGGTCAAGAGAAACAAGAATGTGTTCCTACAACTCCAAGTTCTAAAAAAAACGGATATGTTGAACTACATGAAGAATTCCACAAACTGTCAAGTTATAATAGCTAAATTAGCAAATATTCATTAGGGGAAACAGGTTCTTTGACTATCTGTGCATTTACTGCCTTTCACAAAAGTGAAATTAAACATTTTATTTTTACTGGTTTAATGGAATTTGAAAACAGTAATTTATAACAAGTTATCATCTGCATTACTTCCAAATAACATCTCCAAATCTTCTGCAAATTAGTTATCAATGATAACCAGTTAATGGAAGTAACAACTTTTTTAAAGGTGACAGGGTTTTTTAAACTCAATAATCATCACCTGCACAGCAAGAAGTTTCAAAAGTTATTGCTTTAGAGTTTGCCGTTATGTGGCACTTATCACATTTATTGTAGACCTTATTGTTGAGATAATCGATTATGACTTATGTCAGAAAATTAAGAGCTTGCATTTCTATATATACTTACAGTACTGTGAAGCTTCTCAAGAAGCAAATTTAACTGAGTCTGTAAAAGAAAACCAGCATTTCAAGAGCCTTACCACAACAGCTACAGAAATATACACACTGAATAGTGGTACAGCATTACTGCATGCATGTTCATTGTTAGTAAATCAAACAGAATTGATAAATCAAATGTTCACAAATTTTAACAGACAAAATCATGCAAGTGTGCATGAATGGTCCTGAGGAAACTGATTGTGTTTAATTGTACAACGATACTGTATGGACTAGTTACTTACTACATCAGACTTATCAAAAAAACTGCCATTTGAGAAAATAAAAGAAATAATAGCTACGTAAAAAAAAAATAAAAAGAAAATGAGATTGATCAGCAATAATTTTTTTTTAAATACACTGAAAATTTGTGAAAGTTCAAATTGAATCTAACAAGCATATGTTAAATAATTAACACAGAAAACAGATATATTCAGCGTTTTCTTGGTTTTTTTGAAGTTAAGCCAACATTTAGGTGAATGAACCTGCATAATCTATTTTTAATTCCAAACTTGAAAATTTTTAATTCTCTGTTAATGACAATAGACTGTAAGTTTTAAATCACATTTACTGAGGCTGGATTTAAACATGCTGTGATGAGAGAAGACCACAGCCCTATGAATATTTGCAGCAAGTCTACAGGATCACCAGAGACTTAAGGCTATCAGGAAAAATGAGTTACAGTTGCTATCAAATGCAATTGGTAGGGACTTAAAACATTCCAGAACCACATCAGGAAAATAGCTATACTTTTACTTTACAGATGTGTCTGTTTTACCACATGGGTTACTGCTGTGCCAGCCTTTCTAGTTTACTAGCAAGCTTTAATTATACAGACTGAAGTAAGATAAAATTCAGTATGTCCTAACATAGTCCTAATTTTCTGTACTGGAATCAAAATTGAAAGTATCTGGCTTTTGACTAACTTTTTTTTAACCAGATCTTTACCTTGAGGTTTATATGGACAATATGCATCAACTACAGCTGCCAGTCATCCTTCCAGTGGATAAAATCAGGGATTTTTTTCAACTTATCATGGATATGGTTAGAAAGAGAGGAGTGCCACGAGAGGCATGACAAACACTAATAACCTCCTGCTCAGTTCTTACTTACACATACTCTTTGTATCTCTACTTGAATATAATCTTTAATGTTTTCTTAAGTTATAGATGCTTAATTTTGGAAGGGACAGCCTAATCTCCATCAACAAAGTACATTTCTGTCAAGGAAAAATACCCCTTCCTTATACTCTGTGATTTGACAAGAATTAAGCCAGAGCCGTTCTCAAAAAATTTCACTAATGAAATGATCATATGAATAAAACATATCACTAAAACTACTGCTCTTTGAATTATTAGGATTTAATCCATCATTACTGTAGTAAAGTAAATCATCCCAAAGATTGAGTAGATCTGATGAACTAGTTAATCATTATTTCCTCAACTGATTTATGAGAACTTTAATTAGTTATAAGGAAGGGATGTGTGAAGGATTTCATAAAGAGAAGTCCCTGCAACATCATCCAATAATTGATATAATCAGAAGAATTTGAGACTGACTGACATACTGATGCACTAAGAATTCTTGAAGAGAAGAAATTTCTGCTAAGATAACAAAATTTATTTTGACGTCATCTGAAGTGAAATTTTCAAGGCTATTAGTGTTCATCAGCAGCACATGTTGTGTCTGGGAAGGTAACACTAAATGAATTACTGGAAGTAACACATACATTCAAAATGCCATGACACTTGAAAACATTGCAAGAATTATAGATTGATGGGCCAGATCCAAAGAGGACTTTAGTCATATTCTAGGTGTAGAGGTGAACACCAAAGTCTAAAAGGCTATTCAGAAAGTTCCCCACTCAATTGCTGCTTAACTTATGTCCACATCTACCAGATGTGGGGTGCTAAATGCAAGAGGAATTGAAAACCCAGGTGGAAGAAAGCGGAAACTATCTCAAAGATCCCACATCTTGGGATCATTTGGCTTGGCTTCATTTTGAAAATGAAGTTATAAAAAACAATGGATCCTAGCTTCACCTACAACATTCACAGGGTTGCAGGGTTGGCTCAGGAGATAGCTTATCTGTACACAATTCCATTTTTCAGTCTGCCTTCTGATCATGCTTTTTATATCAAACCAATTGCTACAGTTTAATTCTACAGCCACTATATAAGAAGGAGGAAATAACCATAAAAGCAAAACTGAAATGAGCAGGCTGCCCAATTCTCAGTTAAATACCAACCAAACCCACTACCTTACAAGTCAGGGTCTGTCTCCTCGTCTTCCTGACCCCACCAGTTTTACTTCTGGCTACATGACAACTCATCTCCAGAAGGGTATAAAGAGAATTCTCTTTGTCAGACTGACCAATAACTTGGCGCTACAGGAAATACAGTAGACATGAAACACTAAATGCAGTATAGACCTGAAGCAGAATACTGTTACTAAATTAGTAAGTGCTGCTACCATACCCTTCCTGTTCTTCAGCCCCTGCATTTTTAGAGAACAGTTCTAAACACCAGCCACAAGATAATTATGCAAGGAGGAATTTATCTTGCAGTCCTGATTCAGCACTTAACCATGACATAGAGCAGAAATGTAGAAACACTCTTCTGCTATTGGCACACTACAAAAAGATTTTTTGATTGTGTAAGATACCTACTTTCCCCAGGGATGGCATAAGGAGTCTAGCTAGGAACATGATGTGGGGTTTTAGGTGCTCCAGGTAAGGTAGCATACCAAAAACGTTGCAGCACTTGAAAGCATTGAAATCCTTCATTGGATCTGGCCCAGATGTGTTGAGAAGAGCTCTTGCTGAAATTGCAGCAGCTCTACCAACAGTAAATCCATGAGATTGAAAAATTTACCTGCAGCCCATAGTTGTGTCTGCTTTTCATCTCTTAATTCCCCTATAGTTCTCTTTCTAGCCATCCTGAGCTGGAATAGTCCAGCTAAAATAAAACTGCTGTATGAGAAAAGGATGCAGAAAACATTTGGAGAAGACAAGGTTTGAAGGTCAGCTTTACCACAAGCAGAAGAAAGGAGAAAATGAGAAGCATCAGATTCAGGTATTGAGAAAGGAAACATTCAGCACAATGCACATATTTCTGTGAAAGCCATGAATATATTTTAGGAGAGGAGAAACAGTGGTTAGGTTAGGTATTGAATTTTGAGAACGGCAAACTGTAGCAAATTGATACATCTTCTAGAATGCACTATCAAGATAGGATGAAACATCTTTTGTCACATTAGAACCCCTTACAGTCCACAGAACCCAAATTTAGATCTCAAGATTGCAAACCTTTTGAATAAAGACTTCTATGTGGCTTTACAAAATTCTGACTTAAAATAATCTCTGTGAGGACTATTATGAAACATCTTTCTGGCAGAAACACATAGCATGTAGCTTGAGTATACTGTTTTCTTATAATTCTATAGAAAAAAAAACATCTATTTAAGAAATTTTTCTTTGTCTGAATCTCAAATTACCATCAACCTTAGGTTTTACTTATTTCAAGGAACTCAGAACTGGCATATATTACAAGAAGATAAGATTCTTTGCTATATTATGTTACCTTGAATTTGTTTCCCACACTGATGAAACTAAGTTTCCCAGCTTTTTGTTTAGGATCCTTGTTGTTGTTAGTGTTAGATTCAAACAGCTGTCGAACAAACTTGTCCTTGGATTCACATATAAGAGATTCAAGGGACATGTGCAAAGCATCATTGTTTTTTTCCACAAATTGCATCTGAAAAGGTAACCCAAGAAATAATAGCACATTTGTTTCACTGCCCCAGTTACTGAAGTCTTAAAGAAAATGAAAGAAAACAATTTCATATACTTAATTCAAAAATCAGCAAGAGTATTTAGGGTAAATATTCTTACATTATTTCAAATAACTTTTCATCTGGACACACAAAACACTAATGTCAGAGAGAAAAGATATTTTTAAATTTGAAGCATGTTGGAATCATGAAACCCAAGGTAAGGTTTAGTGACTTTTAAGAGATTGGTTATATTTTTGCCAATGATTATCCTCCTTGTTTCCATTTCCAGCACTGAACACATCATGACTTAGGCATTCTGAGAACTTCCTAATTCTTCACTGCTTGTAGATCTTCACTTAAGATCTGTTGTGAAATGGGAATTAACATGCACACTTTAATTGGGGCATCTACAGTCTGGAATTTAATTGATGCATCTGGAGTTTGGAAAATGAACTGAAAAATGGTTACTTTAGTAGTACTATGACTATTTAAGAACAGTTGATTTAATAAAAGATATTGTTGCTTCCTACAAACCTTATCTCTTTATTTAAATTTGCTCACTAACTTTTACAAGTTCAGAACAATAGATTACACTGAAATTCACAGATCAAGACACTAGTACCCAATTTCACAGTTAACAAAATTCTCAGTAGATTTTGGTGTAACTTTAATGATATATATTGTATTTATGAACAGAAAAAGCCTAATTCAAAGAAACTATGAATTTGCCGGATATCTCATAAAAGGATTTAATGGGGATGAGAATCAAAGGACAAACACAGGCCTCCAAAATTCCCTTGGACTATGAAAACAGAAGACTGGAATATGAATGCAGCCAGATGAGCGTCCTCACCACAAATCAGATTCTGAGAACTACCACAAAGTGCAGCGGAAAAGACAAACAAATAAAAGGTGAGGTACAAGGCAGCTATAGTCCAAAAGTTTTAAGGCCCAATCTAAGTCCCTCTGAGGGAGGGCATAAATTAAGTCAAGCATATTAGCATAGCTTCTGCTCCAAAGTAACCTCATATCTGATTAGCTCTAACAGTAGAGCTCATGCTCATATCTGGCTCCTCCATTCCTGAAGACACTCTAAGGTATTATTAACATATGATGAAGTACACAGTTTAACATAGAGCACTTGAACAAATGTGTTCCAGTTTTATTATTTTGATGTTGTCTCACTGAGCAACCTCAGAAAAATCAGATAGGTAACACACAGACTTCAATTTTCTTATTTGTAAAATGACCTACAGAATGTGCCTACTTCAAACAGCACAGCAATCATTACGATTCTTGGAGTATTTTGAAGTAAGAAAGAACAAGCTCTCAAAGTATGGATTTTCAAATGATTTAAAAAAAAAAAAAAGTCTGTGGGAGTAGCTTTCACCTTAGACACTGGAGTTAAAGACCAGAACAAAGTATTAAGTATCTTTGTTTATCCTAAACTGTTATTTAAAAAAAAAAAAAAAAGTTTTACATATTGCCTTTAGATGTTTCAATGTTTTTGATACTGAATAGTCAAAAAATTACAAGAATATGGAATGTATTTTGAAGGTAGCAATTTCAGGTATTTCATATTCTTACATGAACAACTCTATTGCCACCAGAAATGGAAAGCAAAAAGTATAAAACATGATTTTTAATATAACATGAACAGTGACTGCACACAAGGATAACAGTGCTTCTCAGAAGCTACTCTTAAGTCTAACAATACTTTTATATCATTTATTTCTCTCTTCAAGATACAAAGGTCTGTTAATGTAAGATTTGTAATAGATTGTGAATCAATATATTTAATATTGACACAATTACCTATAGATTTATAACAAACTCTTACAAAAAATGTAACCAAAACAGTCTGTAATCTGAGAATTTAAAAGAAACTGTCAATTGTGCCACATACTCACAAATTAGTTTCAAAGGTAAGACATATCAACTTTTGAATTTCTCCTCTAATGAAAGGAAATTTTGTTATTTAACCTATATACCCTTAAAAATATAGAAATACAACAAGCATAACAAAAATAGTTTGCACAAGTAAAATTACCGTCTCATAGCATACTGCTCCTGCAAAATGTCGGATAATAAAGCCTTCATCATCTCTGATATTTCTGTGAACAGCCAATTTAGACTTTCTAGGAATCTGGAATTAAAAGTCGAATTATAAATTATACTGTAGAGTGAGAAAAAGTTTATTCTTAAAACATCACCATGATTCTGCCAGGAGCACTAGGAGTTAAAATATTACATTGCCTGCAGTACACTTGGGATGACTACTACCATTCCCATTCAAACCAAGAAATTCCAAAACCCACACCCTTGTATACCTCACATTCAAAATAAAGGTCACCAGGATTGCTAACTCCAGCTAGTTGATTTTCTTTTTGCCTTTTATCAACAATTTCTATGTCATTAATTCCAGGGCTGATTAATAGCCTTGTTACATGAACAGGATTAGTTAGAAGCTTAAAATAAGTTTTTAGATGGTATATTTGAAAAGGCAACCTAGTTGATTGTACACATACCAACAAAAACATTTCATTGCACAGCAATCCAGTTAAGCAAGATTAAGTGGAAACTTAACAAAAGGTAAATGGATGACAATTTTATTTGGCTCCCTTTGCTTGCATTTTTTTCAGCAGAAAGCATGTACTTAAAATGCAGTAATTTGCATTAATCTTCCAGAGTGCTGTATGTTAAGGAATTAACAACAAAAAGGTTTTCCTTGTGTGTTCCCTATTTTTATCTCCGAAGTGCTAGCTAGACACTCCCTGTGAGTCAAATATTCTCCAAAGCAAGCAATTTTTGAAAGGATCAACAAGATAACTCAAATGATATGAAATAACCTAAATTAAAAAGTGTTTTTCTTTCCTTTTCATGCATTAGATGTTAACAAACTTCAAATGTAAGTGAAGAATATGGCTTTAGTTTTAGCAGGATATTAGAACTACTACACAACTTAAGCCTTCAGTGAACTTTTCAACAAACCTAATAACCAAACTTGTACTTAACAAAAGAATATGAATTATGCAGACTGGTGTGGTATGAGATTTCTTAGGAAAGGTTTTCATCAAATTGAAGTGTTTCTATCAACTGTTCAAAGAACTGTTCTATTAAAACAAGACAAGACATCAAAAATAAACCTACAGAGAGCCTGAAATGGTCCTTGTGTTTTTGGTGCACAACTGAAGTAAAATGCTGGTCACTTGGTTGGGGAAGACGGTTTTCTTCATCCAAAATATCCAGTAGACCTATTAATTTTGCTTCAATCAAATCTATTAATGGAACAAAACATATTTATAAAAATTGAATATATATCATATCATATCAGAAGTGAACATTACAAGTTTAAAATGCTACTGATGGAATTCTGTATAAAGGTATCTAGGGAAAGCTGCTAGCATAAAGTACAAAAAAGTAATTGCAAATTAATTCTACATATCTGAATTGTTGATTTAATTGATATCCTATCCATACCAAGTTCTAAGTCTAACACAAGGAATACAGCAGAAAACTGTTTTTTACTCTGCATCTCAAGTTAAATTTAGTCATCTAATATGCAAAAGGTGCCTAAATGTTTCTGTGATATGACCATAGGTCCTTATGGGATAATTGCTCATATTGTTGGGGTTTTTTTTCAAGCTTTTCATCTATGTTTCACCACATATCAAAACTAAAAGCATGAAAAGGCACATACCTCCATTCAGAATAGGATCCAGGGAAAAAATGAAATGCATTTGTTTTAAGAAAAGCTTGCACATACATGGTGGGTTCACAACTTTTTACAAGTATATTGTCTTGACCTTTCACATACATACAGAAAAGCCTTTGAAAGCTCACATAGAAATTCATGCTCTTGAAAGTATCAGACACAAGAATTTTGCAGCTTTTAAAACTTTTTTTGTATTATCTACAAAACTGACTAATGGTTGTACTGCAGCAATGCCTATGAACCCTTAGCACAGATTGTAAACAGTTTGAGGCTATATATAAAGCAGAAAGACAGTCCCAAAGGAAATAATTTATGCTTATGAAATCTGAATAAGCTAATTTAGCAACAGATATGACTACCATTCCATCAAAAGATTCTAATATACTAATGACTTGTTTCTAAGATTCTTCCATAGTTTTAAAAAATTGTCCATGTCAACATAGTATCCTTTTGTGACAGTATTTCTACATGTTCACTGCTGCCACCAGCCTGGTCCAACACCTTAAACAAAAGTTTTTTCAGAAACCAACAAAATTTTTCTCACTCACTTCAAAAGTCAGTAGAAAATCCTTTTCTCCTGACTATGCAAGAACAGAAAAAAGGCGTAACTCATACAATGAAGAAACGCATCAAATCTGTGATGGGGTGTCATATGATGGTTGGAATAGTAAAAGGGTTCATGACTGAGGGACTGCTACTTGTATTCTTAGGTAATCTTCCCAAACCTTTTTTATGGCAGAAAAAGGCAACAACTTGGCAACCATCTCAACAACCTGACCTAATTTCCCACTATGAGTCAGAGACCTTTTCTTCCAATAGGCACCAAGGAACACCTTTTGATCCTGAGATATGTTAAAAAAAAAAAAAAAAAAAAAAAAAAAAAAAAAAAAAAAAAAAAAAAAAAAAGAAAGAAAGAAAACCAAACCAACAAACCACAGAAACATGCACTGGGGGTAAGCAACCCTTTTTATAGAAACATGACAGTCTCAAAACTATAACATTTTGGGGAACAGGCTCAGGCTCATATACACATTAAACACATTATTAAACCACTAGAAGAGAGATTCGTACTCATGGAAGTCACCTATTTCCTGTTAATTTTGTTGCTTTTGTTTCCTCCTCCAAATACCTTCCTGTTGTTTTTTCACAAGATGGCTAAGAGGCTTGCTTGACAAGAGTTGTCTTTAGTTAAATCAGAGTGACTGCACAGTCCTATCTGTCAAAGTGAAGCTCAGAACCAGACATTTTGCAACAGATGTTAATTAATTCTGTCACTCTGCTCAGCCAGGACTGACTAGTTACCTTAAAGCAAATTACTGTAAATGCAAAAGCAAAATGAACTTTTGTTCACAATACACCAATTTGGAGGACACAAGTTGAACACAAGGGGGGGTAAAAAAAAAAAAACAAACAAGGAAAAAAACTCAACCTTAAGCCTATCGTATATATAAGCCCGGGGAAGCCTAAAAGCAGCAGTAACTTCTACAGCCTGTTGCCTATAGTTCATTTTGTTTCTTTGCTCACCAGCTCAGAAAAGGTGAGGGGAATGGAATAGGATTTTATCAATTCATGGAATATTTTTCACCAGACACCCTCACACCCTTCTTCACTTTCTTTACCTTACTTAGGTGTTCTAATTAGTTTGCTAGGAAAATGCACAAGAAATTCACAAGTCCCAGCTGCAGTTATTACACACCATAGGACAACACAGCTCTACTACCAACCAGAACTGTAATCTTATACAAAGCTGGAAGAATTCACAAGGTTGCAAATCATTAAAAACATAAAACTATAAACCTACTAGTGCTGTGCATATCTCGCCTCTTCTGCTTGAAACTTTTTTTCTCTGTAACACTAACAAATATCTTGACATTTCAAGAAGTACATACCTATACAGTCCTGATTATCTACATAGCGCACTTCATTAACCCCCAGGCCTTCTTTCTGGTAAAGTTCTTGTTCCTTAAAAAAAAAAAAAAAAAAAAAAAAAAAAAAATTGAAAAGAGAAAATACCACTCACCACATATTTTTTTTACCCATCAAAAAAATTTTTTTTTAAATAAACAGGAAGACATTTTTAAATACAGCATGAATCAACATAAATTTTAAAATTTCCTTCCACAGCTTAATATATTCAACTTCACCTCCTTAATGATATGCCAAAGCAATTAGATATTCCCATTACGTATGAGATATTGTCCAGTATCTGGATGCCTCATTTTAATGAATAGTAAAAAAGAAGAAGAAAAAAGATTGTTGGTTTTCAAAAAACAGTATTCTTCTCTGGCACAATCAGATGTCACACAGTAGGAAAACAGTTTGTCAACTGCATCTTTTTTTAATCTAAGCATAATGTGCAATCTTACAGAAAACAGAACCTTTCTTCAAGTATCTCTTTACCAAAAAAATAAATCCTCAGATATAACATTACATACAACATACCTCTTTCAGAATCCTTTCATTAAAAAACTGCTGCAGTTTTTCATTACAGTAGTTAATACAGAATTGTTCAAAACTGTTGTGCTCAAAGTATTCTGAAAAACAGAAGTTAAACTTCTATGGTAAATGGAGAGAATATATATTACATAGTAACTAAAAAAAGCTTCACAGTGCTAATATTTAAAGATGTGTTCAGATCCATATCTGTTTCTTTCAGTAAAATAAATGCTTTTACATATTTTCAAGTTTCACACAACACAAATATAGAAATACTGTGGCAGATCACATTTCTAAGACAAATAACAGACAGTTGTATCTGGCATCAAACCAAAGCAAAATACTACCATACAATGAACCTATACCAATACATTCTCATGCACCCATGTTACAACAGGCTGGCACAGGATATCATAGCTCTAAAGACCTGAAAACCAAAGGTTCCCTTTTTCACTGTTCTTGGACCACCTTAACAGGGCTAGAACACACCAGAAAACATGCCCTATTCTGAATCTCAGTGAGTCAACACAACAAAAGCATTATGGGAACCATCAACACCCACCACTTCCCGGGAACAACCAGGAGCCCAAAGTCCAACTCTGTAACAGAACTATCCAGCCTCCAGGAAACAGTCTTAATTCAGAAACTTCATTTCACTGTGTGTCAGTATGGAGTGATCTTCTCAGGACTGAATGGTAAAACAGCATGCACATGCAATACCTTTTCTAATTTTACTGGGTGTTCACAGTAAGATTCCAGTCCAAATTTCGAGTCCTTCAAAAGCTGTGTCTATGCAGACACTACAGGAATCTGAAACCACTACATGTTCAGTTTGATGCTAACACTTATTAGCGTTATTAGGTCATAAACAGAAACTCAATCTCTGCATTCTTTTATCTTTAAAATAAAATGAAAATGAGGCTTTATCAGCCCTCTTCATATCTTCTTAAGCTATTGTAACCCATCCCACCACCACCAAAAAGAAAACTCTTCCACTCTCCATTACAAAATCTACCATTAAATCTTTTGTGGCAATGACAGATGAGTGGAAAGGTGGGGTTTTTTTAAGTATACTTACCAAAACCAGCTATATCTAGAACTCCAATGAAGAAAGAAGAAGTCTCAAATGGAAAACACTGGTTTACCCTGTTCACTACATGGTCAAACAGATGACTATACACCGTTTTAGCCAAGGCATCACGAGCATTGTTTGCTTGTTCCACTTTCAAGGGTACCCTAAAAAACAAAAATACACATCTTATTTTTCAGAATTCACTACTCTGAAACACTAGGATTAGACTCTAAACTTAAAAAGAATCTTTCCAATTACTGTAAATAATTGGACAAAAAAAACCCTGGGGTCTAGGCCCAAGTAGGAGACAATGTTGCCAAGTTAGACTAACTATGCTACCTGTAAAAAGGAAGAATAATGCTTCACTATCCTCATCAGAAGTGAGATGCTGATGTTTTCATACTTATTCAATAGATAATCAGAAACCATACTGATAATTGCCAGAGAAAGGTACTTAAAAACATATATATTCCCATCTACAAAAAAAAATTTCAACTATTTATGAGCTGCCTAATTACAATAAAACCTATAGTGCAGTTTTGCTCTGATATTTTCATCCCTATGTTTTTGTAAGAGCTATAATTAAAACTATAAGGCTGTAAGTTAATTGGTAACAAATATAAAAACAACATAGATAAGGGAGTGCATTCTCATGGTGAAAGTTATATGCAATCCTGAAATAAGGATTCTTTTTAAACACTGGAAGAAGGGGCCTTTTAAGAGATGAGAATTTATTCGCCCTACTTTATTTATAAACCTTTATTCTGCATTGTGACTATTTATTACAAGTTTACATCCTAGTTTAACAATTAAAAAAAAAAAAAAAACCACAACAAAAAAACCCATGAGTCACAACTTCAAAGCCTATGAAATGCATGACAAAACTGTGTGAATATCAGGCAAACATAGCTACATATTTATGTATAAATAATATCTATCTAGCAATTTTCTAAAGTCAGGATGACAGTAACAGGCTTGGAATGCATATATTTCAAAGCACCTTTAACCACATCATGTTGTGTAGAATGTATTGATCCAAGACTTTTTTTTTTTTAACTGTTTTTCTGTTAATCTGAAATCTATTACACTGTACACAGCTGAGAAAGCACCTGTAGAAATCTTCAGAATAAGACAACTGATACAACAATAAAGCCATAAGGAAGTGTTTAACAAACAATGTGAAAGAAGCATGAAAAATGAACCTTTGTCTTCATGGTATGATTGCAAACTGCCCTTAGATTCCAATCATGTTGCTAAAGAATTCAAAAGCAAAAGCCCTACTAATCTCAGACCAGAACAGAATCAGACCGTCAAAGGTCAAAGCTCTCCAAAGGATTTTTACATGTCAATAAATAAATATATATTTATTTATATAAATATAAATTAAAAGGGGGAAAAAAATTAAATACTGATAGCCCCTTGACCAGACAGCGACAAAATTTCATGCATGGAAAGAAGGCCTACAATTTAGAACAACTATGGGTACACAAAGGCTTTGCAGAACACTGTATCATGACATACAGATGACATATCTAATATTAAATTAAACCAAAAGAAGAGATTTTTAGGGAGACCACCTTTGCTATCCAAACTGATAAAATTTGCAGGGAGGAACAGGGACAAATAATGTCAATATTTTTATCATACCAGTCCTCTTTGTCATAAAGAATAAAGGACAATGGTTGTATGCCAAAAGCTTTTTCTAAATATTTCACAGTTGCCTTAATAAAACAAATCACTTCTCTCCATTGAACACCCTTTGTTACTTCTTCCCATACACCTTGCCTCTCATATCCTTGGACCACCAGCACTACAGTAACCATTATTAATAATCAACGGATAGACTGTCCAGCTAAGGTGGTGGATAACCAGTTAGAAACTTCAAGTATGCAGTAAATCTACATTTAAAAAATACCTCTTAACTGATCTGTTTAAGTAAGCCCTACACAAAGGTTCAAGATGTCCTGGCTGCAGAACTGCCCTATCGCCCCCTCCAGGTAGTTTTCTGTATACAGAAGTACAAAGAACTGGCAGGCGAGAAAATGAAAACTTAAGGCTACAAAGCTTACCCATATTGCATCATTTCCTTCACTTCCCAAGATTCATAAGCACTAAAATAGCTCAAATTTATTATTTCTGTATTTTTTCAAGGATGATACTTCTGGTGCAGAAATGTGAGACTGATGGAGATCACTTTCTATTGTGACTGGTAAGTCAGGGAACCAGAGACTCCATTCACTAAGGACACCTGCAGCTACATTACATTAGATAGTAATTAGCTTTAACACACAATCTTGTCTTTCACTAAGTATCTTCTGACTTATCTTATGGTAATGAGTACTGACAGCAATCTTATCTTATAAATAGAAGGAAGGTACCCTTACATTCCATTCTGATACGTTTAAGAGATCAGAATACTAATTCCCACGTCAGCTGCAGGCCTATTACATAATACAATCACTTATGCTTTCAATTTATTTTTTTAAACAAGTCATACTTCTGGAGATTTTATTTATAAAACAGCCCTGTTCTTCAAAAGTAACAAATTCTGCCATTATTAAGTAGAATTTCAGGGACTGCACAAACCCCTATTGTTATTTTAAGTTTCATAGTATGCAGTAGAAACCCCTGGAAAGAAAATGTAACCCTGCAATGCATTTTCCACAGCTGAATGTACAGAACCACTAAATAATGCTGAAATTCCACTGGTAGATACCAGTAGATACAAAAGGGCTCTATTACAGACCTGACATTCAGAATGAGTAACTTTCTTCTCATGAACTTGCTTTCCCTCAGCTCCTCCTTTCCTCTGGTCTACACACTGACAAATGAATCCCTTTGCTCCTCCTGTTTCTTGTCTGAACAGGAAAAGATATATTTTCCTTCCTTCATTTCACCTTCTCTCCCTCTCCTCCATACATCACTTATTTGTCAGGAACAGGGAAGAAATTTTTCCAAATTCTAAGATATTTGGTAAGGCTGCAACAACAAAAAAAATGTTTGTTCTTCATACTAATTTTTTCAGCAAGGTTTACACTGATCCACAGAGTCTGAGGCCTGGAGGAAAGCGCTCTCATGGGCTGGATTTATCTTGTGGATAAATCCATGCAGTCCCCAAACATTTTCCAGAACAATAAACTGCAATTAAAATATGTATAATTTGCTCATAATTGACGATTAAGAGAGAGAGAGAGTAAGTGAAGCGATACCATCAGCTACTGTCATCCAATAAGGTTACTGCTTCACAAATAAAATGGCCTAGATGAAATAACCCTACCTAGTGAAAGGTCTATGTAATTAAAAGAATATAAACAGAACATTCGTAATTTGAGAAAAGGTGAAGGTCCAAAAACTGTAGAAAAATGTTTTGTTTTAAAAAAAACACAATGTTTTTCCAACAGGGGCTTCAGTTCCACCCAAAAAAAAAAAAAAAAAAATTTGGTAGGAAATGTACACCAAAAGAAGGTGGAGAACCAGGAATCATGTAAGGTAAATTCTTCACACTGTGAAATAAGTGAAATAATTTACTTTGTGATGACAGAGTCCTCTTTGAAAGTCTTCTTGGAAAGAGAGAAAATGAATAAGAGAGTAGTATAGTGCAATTGCAGTCTAAGAGATGCACCAAAGTTTGAATACTAACACATTATTTCTCTCTGTAAACACACTTTACATGGATGGTAAAAACATCAGCCAACAAGGTGATCATTATGGACTTTTTTGGGAGACTAACAAGGACAGATAAATGTAGTGCAGCTGTCAAGTCTCCCTGGTAGTCCACTGCACATTAGTATTTAATAAAATTCACAGAGATAGCATTTAGCATCACCCTCCTACTGTTCCTTGTTGGCTCCATTGTGCCCAGCAGAATAAAGCCTTTGTTATACTCTGAGCACCGTGATTTCAGCTGAGCTATTTATTCACTGTGACCTATTAGGACTCACATGATCTACTTGCACACAAAAGGTCCCTAAGAAAGAGAGAGAGAAATGAGTAGCTCTTTGGGTTGTCAGAACAAATTAAAACAATGTTCTTGTCAAAACTCTAATATTGATAGCAATCAAATAGTTTCTAAACCACGCCACCATAGAAAAACCTGGTGGCTATTTAATAAATATCTAAAACAGTCCAGTTCACTTTCCTGTACATGCAGTATGTATGCCACACAAGAAGATACTAGTCTGTTTATTAGTGTACATTTGCTTTTAGCTGCACGAGTTTAGAAAAGGCTGGAGAAAGAGGTTTAATGCATTAATCCTCTGAGATGGTGGAAAGAGCCCTCTGAATGTTTTTTCCATCCACAATACAAAACATTGGGGAAAAATAAGATCTGCTGGCACAAAAACATAGCTCCTTGTGTTAGCAGACTTTTGAAACTGTACACTGCTAAGAACACCTCAGGCTTATCAGGGTAAATATGCTGAACAGAAAATTTCTAGTCTTAAACCAAAGTGAATTTGAAGCTGTTGCAAAAATTGTATTTGTTCATAAGAAACCTTCCTTGACAGGGTCACTTGAGATGTGGTGAAAGGGAAGCAGTATATTATGATACACCTTTACTTTAGTCCTTGATATGTCCCACCAAACATTCTCAAAAGGAAACTATATAGACATGCTTTATCTGTATGTTCTGTGTACAAGAGCCAAGACTAATCTGTTCTCAGAGGCTGACTCAATAGTTCACTGAGAGCATTTCCAGTAGGGTGCCATCTGAATCCAATATGGATGTCACTTGTTCAAACCCCTTCTTCTTCTAGTTAACACTTTCACTTCAAAGGAGTGCAAAAGTAAAGGTATTTTAAAAAAAAAAAAAAAAGTCTGATAATACTGAACTAAGAAAGCAGAAAATCTTGGTAACAAGATTTGCATACAAAATTACTTTCACGAATTGAAGATACAATCTAAAAACCCACAAAAAAGATTTTGGTAAAGGAAAGAATGTGGTGATATACTTAAGAGAATTCAAAAATATAAATGCAAGATGGAGAATAAAGAGCTAAGCAGTGAGTCAACAGAGAGAGAAAGATCAGCAGTTAAGAGTGGATCACAAGCTCAATTAAGTGAAAAATGTTACTAACTTTCAAAATCTGCAATTCTCATACCGCCATGTGTTAATATGAGGAGTACCATCTGTACTGTATAATATATAATTTTCTACTCCGATGTTATCCATAATACTGATAAAGGTTCCCCTGGATGAATATATCAAAGATTTTGCTGTCAATTTAAACATGGTCCAGAAGACAGCAAATAGTAAAACGTGGAAAATACTGGCCACTAGAGGCACTTTGTCCCACAAGACCCATGTTTTCCTACATGTACAGGTTATTATAAAGATACAAATTATTTTTAACTTTCCATATTAGCTAATAAGGTAGCAAGATGATAGTGACTAAGTCTCCAATTTCTAGTAACTGGGGGGGAGAGGAGGAATTTATAATCACTTTCCAGAAAAGCACTACTGAAAATATTATGAAGAGATACAGATCTTGAGCTTTTAACTAAAGGCAGAATAACTCCTTCCCAAACATTACTTACCCTTTGTCTCTGCGTTATGACTTTTTCCATGGTAGTCACTATGGAGTTCTAACTCTTGAACATCCCTTCTTTCAAAGTACAGAAATAAGCAGACTACCAAGAATTCTACTTGTTTGCTCTATCCAGAAATACCCCTTAAAGGTCAGCTATTTGGTAATAATGTATTACTGAACAACAGCCCATACCCACGCTAAACATAAGAGTATGAGTTAATTCAGAAGAGCTCCTGTGTACCCCCAAAAACCCAGGACGTTCAAACAGTACAGGCTGTCACTGATGGTTTATTATGCTCAAATTTTGGCTAGGAAGATCAGTTTCACCCTGGAGATCAGGAAGCAGGCACTGAACAATATTTCCGCTAAAGCTATTATCTTTTAATTTAGCAGTCTTGATTAGAATTAGGTAGAGATCAAGATTACTTCTCTTGTACAGAATAAGCTCTTGACCAGTGGAAATCTTCATTACTCAAATCCATTATATCCCTTGAGGACTAAAAAAGCCGATGCTCTCAAGTGCTTGAAGATCAACTTTTCACCTCATATGTCTGACATAACCTAAGCATGTGTTAACCAACACCTGCCACCTTTACTGGCCACAGTGACATACCAAGGTTAAATCAATCAGCTGTTACTTAGTTTCAGTCTAAAGGTTTATGAAATGTTAGTAAGTATTTCATACTTTAAAGCATAATAAATTCAAAATAAATATGCAAGGGACTTATATAAACCACATTAGTACAGACAATTAATTACGGCTTTCATACTTTGAACTCCTGGTGTAATGGTTGTATTTCTGATTCACTAAAACAATCTGATTGTTTCCATAAGTAAGTAAGAAGCATCCATGCATTCTTCCAATGAGTGAAGGGAATGTTAATTAGTTTCCTAATTAAAAGATCAATGCATTCAGCTAAACATTAAGAATTACTTTCAATGTGCTCAAAACTGTTTAGCCCAAGTTCAGCTTTTGATGCGGTGTTTAACTCCAGAAAATACACAACATAGAAAACTCAGTGTTAAACCACGCAATTCAGTTGCATGCAGCTTAGCTAGGATCCCTGACAGCTTGTGTGCTAGAAGAACCCATCTCACAAGAGAAAATTTGTGGTGGAAGATACAGGTTTTTCATAAACAAAAGGCAACTGTAGTGAAATCACTGTCATAAAACTGTTTCACATCAGTAATCACTTCCACGGTATCAAAATGTTATCATCAGTAGCACCTTTAAACACATTCTTTGTAATTATTCCTTCTCCATGTGTGTACAGAAAGAAATCGCTATCCATAGGAGGCTACCTTGCTAACACCTTCTTGTCAAAATGAAAGGGACAATCACTTTAAGGTCACTATTTACTACAATAGTGATGCATTCTTAAAAGCTACAGAAAAAAAAAAAAAAAAAAAAAGAAAAGTATCCTGTTCTACTATTTTTATGTTTCTATGAAAAAATATTAACTTTGCAGTCAATATTAAATATCTGTTTACCAGCAACAGGTGGTGTTTTTAAAGCTGAAATTTGATTTCAGAAGAATGTGGCAAACACAGGGACACTGTCGACCCAGACAATGAGAAGGGTAGATATAGTATCCTCTAAGTAGACCTAATATCACAGGGCAGCAGTCATGGGAGCACTGTGCAGCTCCCATGACAAAAAAGATGTATCGAAGTATCTTGTGAAATACTTTTGGCAGAGCATTAACATTCCTTGGTACAGTGTATGTTAAATCTCTTACCATACCTAATTTACTGTGTAGGTTACAGATTTAACAGGATGAGCGCTATTCTTTGGCCACACAGCATACTTGTGACACGTGAGAGGGTTTTTTAAAATGTGATAGTGACTTATTCTAAGCAATTCTTTTCTGAAAAAAAAAAAAAAAAAGCCGTTTTAGCTAGATGTTGTATAACTGCCACTCTTCCAAATACAAACACTCCAGTGATGTAACAACAATAAAACAAGCCTGAGCATCTGAAAATGTGCATTTGGATCAACTGGTTAAAGAAAAAAAAAAAAAAAAAAAGGCAAGCCCTGTTAAAAATGCGTCCTCTCAAAATGAACACTTGCATGACGGGAAGGCATAGCACGCTGTTTGTTTTAAAGGGATTAACAATGAAAGCCTACTAGTCTACTGCACCCCCGTTTTTTTGTAGTATTGTTTTTGTACCTGCGCCTCGTAAACCATTAGCAAGCATTTTGAATAGCTGCACTGAGGCTAACTGCATCTCAGCTCATGCTTGCAAATGGTCAAGCGGGAGTTTGAGCCCCGTTTTCCCCGTGGCTAAGAAAAGGGGCAAACCCGGTGTCCGGAGGCAGCCCCGACGGTCCCTGGGCGGGGGGCGGAGGTCGGGCAAGCGGTTACTTCAGACGGCAGCGCCGGCCGGGCGGGACTCACCTGATGACCGTTCCTTTGGCGCCCCCTGCCGTGGTGAGCATGACGCGCGCCGTGAGGCTGCCGCGCAGGTCCTCCGGGTCCAGCCCCAGCAGCGCGGCGCAGCGCTCCAGCGCCGGTTCGCTCCGCGGCCGCAGCGTGCAGCCCCCTGCGACCGACCCACACAGAGCGTTACACACCGCCACGGGCTCTGCTGAGTCCCAGCTATGCTCATA